AGAAGGGGGAGTTTAAAATAGTTATTGCTGTGTGTGGGTGAGTAACAGGACCCCAGGATTGCTCTGGCCAACAGCCATGGAGAATTTTCTGCAGGACCCCTGAGTCTCTGGCTCTCCACTCTTGTCCCTCACCCTCTCCAGCTGCTCAGCGCCAGAGTCCAGAGTGCATATTGTTCCTGAAATCTGTCCTCTCCCAAACCAATGAGGTGCGGGGTGGGAAGTGCCACGATGGGGGGGGGGGGCAGACACTCTCCAGCATCACTCTGTGGTGCCAATTTAGCAGAAAGCATAAGTGTATAGAAACCCCAATTTAAAAAGAGTTCATCCTGCAGACTTCCAAAATCTCAGCCCCAAGAACAGAAGGCAATTGGGGCACATGTTTAGGAGGCCCAGGGCGGCAGGCCAGCGGTTTTATAAGTAGCCTTGTGGTGGGCTCCTTCTGATTTGCAAAGCCCAGAATTGCCTCTTTCCTGCAGCAGGGGAGGGCCTTCCCCTTCCCCCCTCCCCCGGGGCCATCTGCACCAGAGAACAGCTCTCCCCATGTGGCAGCCTCAGTTTCGGGGAGCTAGCAAGGGGATGAAGTAGCTCCATGTGGAGCCCACGGAGACCCACACGTATAAAGCAAGCAGACAAAAAAAGGCTGTTCAAAATAGATTCTGTCTACGGCAGAAAACACCAGCACCAGAATGAAGACGGCTGACCAAAGTGGACTGTTTTCCAAGCCTCTGGGGGACCGTGCATGAGGAGATTGAGTTGAGAGGCCAGAGCGGAGGACAGTGAGGCCTACTGGAGGTCTCTCCGTGTGGGCAGTCAGTCCTGCTCCACCTGGACGAGCCCACCTAGTCGATCCCTCGGAGAGCCTTGAGGAAGACAAGAACGTTCGACGGCAGTGATGATTGTACAGCAATATGAATGCACTTAATGACACTTAAAACATGGCTGAAAGGGTAAATTTGGTTATATATATATTACTACAATTTTTAGATGTAAACAACCTGCTAAAAATAAATTTAAGCACGAGAATCTCTTTGATAAATTCTAAGGGAATCTGAACCTGCCCATCCAGCGATCAGTGAGCAGCTTTAGAGGCTGATATCCTCCTTGTACCCCAGCACCCCCTTCACCCACCAGGAGGAACAGACCCAGGCCCCACCCCTTTCCCCTCTTTCAAAAATCTGAGTCAACCCTGTTCCTGTTCATCTGCCCCCAAAATCCAACATGAGCTGCAGGTTGCAGGATTCATTTCTTCCCCAGACACTGGCCAGATGGCCTTGTCCCCGGGTGCTGTCTGCACGCAGCAGGGACGGGTCAGCACATTCCACCCCCTCCGCAGTGGCTGTCACTTGGCTTGTCCTGGCCATGGGGTGCAGCCCAGCACTTGTCCTTGCCCTTGTCTCTGGGCTTACAGAGAAGTTTAAATTTTCTGCTTAAAGCCTAAGAAATTTGATCTTATGTTTATGGCCAAGCACTTTCCTCAGATTTAGCCACTCATCTTGTTTCATTTGCAAATAGCATATGCATCCCCTTAAGATAAAAATAGCATGGGGTGATTTTCGGCAGGTCCATCTGACACCAGCCGTATTTGGACACCAGGGCCCGGGGTCTGCATGTGGACTCGGTGTAAGGTGTATAAAAGTGGCAGCATGCTGCCTCCCAGACACCCACAGGACCCTGCCCAGGAGCACCCCCAGGTAAGCCTGTAACCCCGCTGCCTTTCTCCAAGAAGATCCTGAAGCCCAATTGTGTGCTGCCAGAAATGTGGGGGAAATGTTTTTTGATGTCACGTCCCTGAGAGTGTGGGACTATCTGTGTGGCAGCTCCTGCCTCCATGGTTGGCAATGCCACTGTTGCCACCATTGATCGCCAGTAATTGAATGAAATAAAGAGTGGCTGTACTGTGGATGATCACAAATAAAGTATGTAAGACCCTCTTCCCCTGTGCGCTGGACTGGTCAGCCAATGACGGGTAAGATCAGGAACAGACCTTCGGTTTGTGACTCCTGACGACCTAAGACAGGCGCAGTCCCCGAGGGGATTTATAAGTGTCCCCCCTTTTTAACTCTATGGAAAATAACTGCTAGAAGGCAATAGCATTGAGTTTCAATAACTTGCTCAATTTGTTGAGGTCACACCATTGCTCCTTAATAATAGGTTTAAGCTTTATTAAACTATTATTGTAAAACTAGTTTAACTGCTTACGGAAAATGCATTAGCAATCTGGCGGGTGTGGGGAGCCTAGAATAATGGAATTAGGTTGTGCTGTGTAAACAGTCACAGTAATAACAAAAATATGTAGGTCAACATAAATCCTAAGTACAAGAGAATTCTGAATAGTTGAGTCAATGGTTAAACTAGGGTTAATTACCAAAAACCTAGAGGTCATGAATAGCGTAGAGAAAAATGGGACCTCTTGCAAAGGTCTCGGTATGTACCTGAATCATCGACGCTTGTGCATGATCAGAAGCTAGATTTAGTGCATATTGTCTTCGTTATGTTTCACTGCATGCAATGATTTGGTGTATGATTAACCACATAATGTACAAAAGCAACCTTATGCAATGTCTATGAAAATGTATAAAAAGAGCATGATACTTTCAATAAATTGCACTCAGATTTTCACTCTCCCTTGAGTGTGTCTGTGTGTCATTCTTTCTTGTCCCCCGCCCTAATTCCTTCGACCACCTTTTGCTCGTTCTCACTCAATCTCGGAGATTGTCTCTATCTCCCGCTGCCGCTGGGCTGGTCCGCGGCATATCTGGAGGACTGAGGCCAGGGTGGGCCTGAGCTCTGCTGAGGGATCCTTTCTTGGTGGGTTCAGGACCTTGATTCAGGCCACACCCTAAACGTGGGCTGATGGAAAGAGCATGTGTGTGTTGGGGTGGGGTAGCACGTGCCCACAGGTGGTCAACAAACCCAACTGGTAAGAAAACCAAGATCTGTCTTCTTGACCAGCGAGTTGGTCCCAGTGTTAGGGGGAAATGATGTCCTGAGCTGGTCCCATGCAGGCTTTGTGGACCCCACCCCCACTCCAGACTAAAGCCATCAAGACATTGGGAAAGACAAATCCCGTCACCACCAAAGGGAGGGTGGCTGGGACCTGAGGGTGGAGTTAAGCAGCCAGGTTGGATATAAAAACCAGACAGGTGGGCCTTGGGCTGGCTCACTGTTGCTCGCCTCCTGGCTACACGGCTCCTGGCTTGCAGCCAGCTCTCAGAGCACCATCTTGGGATTCCTGATCGGCGGATCGGGTAGGACTCATTTAAAACTTTGTCTCCCACTTTTCTGCCAGAGCTGTACATTTCCTCATTTGCCCTTCCCTTGTAAATAAACCTTCTATTAACCTTTCGGGTGTGCCTGCAGTAGAGCATTGATAAGTCCTTTTAAGCGCGCGGGTGAGGACCCACAGTCAGGCACCCCGTTTTGTATCGGGGTTGCTCTACAACACCAGCGACAGCTAAATAGCCTGGTTAGTGGCTCAGACTCAGACTCTTGAGCCTGTGACTGAACTTAATTCCTGGCCCCATGACCCTGAGGAAATCATTTCATCTCTCTGGGCCTCAGTGTCCTCGCCTGTCAGATGCGAATATTAAAGCCCTATCCCCTCAGGATTTGCTTAAAGGTGATGCTTAAAGAAATGCATTTGCATCCACTTAAAAGGAGCTTGGCATGGAGTAAGTAGTAGATGATGTTATTATTGATACCTCCTAATGTGTGGACACAGACCCCTGCCTGCCCCCCCGCCACATACATACATAAAATAATTTCAAAGACATAACATTTATGAAGAAAACAACAGAGAAGGAAGGCTTGAATTGGAGACCACAATGACTTATAGATCAGGAGGTTGCTAAGTACCCCTATCATGGTTTCCAAGAGAGTAGCCTTGTAGAAATTAAATTTAAGTATACAAGTAACATGTGTATTGCCCATAATACCTTCCCAATATAAAAGTTTGAAACATTGGGCCTCCCTGGTGGTGCAAGGGGTTAAGGCACAGCACTATGAAGTAATCCACAGCTACTGCAGCATGAGTTCGATCCCTGGCCAGCCAGGGAGCTGACCCACACGGCGCAGCAGACCTCTCCTGTCTCACCGCTGCTCCCCTCAGCAGTGTATTTCAGTGGATCAGCCTGTTCTGCTCCCCACTGTCTCTGAATCCTCTCAACCCCTGCCCCCGCACCTCTGGCCTGCACCCCAGCTCTTGCATGCATAAATAAATAATTTGAAACATCCCCACATAAGGCTTGCCTGAAGTGATTCCAGAGAAGGGATGAGGCCCGGCACCCCCTCCCTCTCCCAATCATCTATTTTGATTGAGTCCCACCTACATCATCCTGCCTCCCAGCTTTGTGTGTTCCTTCTGCTAGAAAAGGAGTTGCCCTGGCCAAAGGCGAAGGGGGTTGTACGTTCTCTGACATGTTAATTAGATAAGTTCTCTTGAGTTTCACGAAAAACCACACTGAGTCCTGCTCTCAGAGGAACCTCCGCCATTCCCAGGCAGAATTCCCTTCTCAGGGTGGCTATTTCTGGGTTCCTTTGAAAGTGTCAGAATGATGAGGAAGAAAGGCTTTTCTTTACCATCCTTCATTGCCATGAACCTCGCCCCTGTTTCCAAAGCAATTGCTCAGCGTGGTGGCACCAAGATCCAGGTTAAACAGAGAATGCATTTGCAGAAGTTATGGATTCCAGGCATGGTGTTGGGCTGGATTCAGAGCGGGTGGGGACACTGCTGGCGGGGGTCCAGTGCAAGTCAGCCTGGGATGGTGACTAAGAGTGAATTTCCTGTCCCCAGACCTCGTGTGTGGATGCACCAGCATAGGGATGGACCCAAAGTGCAGGCTTCCCTCCTCTCTGTGCCCTGCCTCTTTCAGAGGATGTCTCCCTCATGACCAGACCCCAAACTCTCCACCTGGGTTTTGGTTTCAAGTGTAAGAGAGGTCGACCAGGGACTCCAAGGCAAAGAGGCTCACTCACTCTTGTTTGTCATTCTTAGCCCAGCCATGGCAATGACCGATATTGTCTCCTTGAAGGACATCGAGGCGGCTCTGTCCAGCTGCAAAGGTGAGGGGGTATGCTCTCTTCCTTAAGTGGGGAGGGCACTGGGATGCCCGAGTGGATGTGCCTTAGATCGCTCGGTCCAATCCTCTTGCATCCAGAAAAGTAAACTCAGAGGGGGATGGGCTGACCCACTTCCATTGTCAGGCTTCCAGACTCCCAGGTCATGCTCCCAGCAAAAAGAACATGGCTCATCCTGTAGCATCTGGGGTGTAAGGAAGCAGATTACCTCGAGAGACAACACAGACTACCCAGATTAAGTCTCTGCTTGGCCACTTCCCAACCTCAGGACAGTGAATGGCCATTTCACTTCCATTAAATAGCCACTTAGCTTCAGGGAGTTCATTTGTAAAATGGAGGTTAAAATAGAGGCTGTTTCCCACCTAAAATGCCCAGTATCTGACGTGCAGTTAAGCACTCAATAAATTCTAGATATTATTGAAATTAACTTGGCCATCTTTCATTGAGGCTTCTTTGTGAATGAGAAAAAGTTTATATGCTGGGAAGAAAACAAGAGCATTCCTTTGTTATCTGTGGCCAGCTCTGTAACTCTCAGGTTGGCTTCAGATTTCTATTGCATCCAATCACACCTAGCGATTGGGTGTTTAAAAAAATGTCCATTTGTGATAATTACTGCTAGACACAGATACTTTGGCTCCTCTAGGAGAGGACATTTGATACAACTTCCTCATTTATGACTATATGCCAAAAGTATCCTATAAAGACTCTAAATCCCTTCATACTCAACAGGACGGCTATAATTTTAAAAATGGAAAATAACAGGTGTTGCCAAGGATGTGGAAATAAGACCCAAATGCAATGCTGGTAGGAACATAAAATGGTGCAGTTGTTGTGGAAAGCCATTTGATGGTTTCTCAAACATTTAAACAGAATGACCACATGACCCAGCAATCCCACTTCTAGGTATATAACCAAAAGAATAGAAAACAGGTACTCAAATACTTGTACACATATGTTTACAGTAGCATTATTCACAACATCTCAAAGGTAGAAACAACTCAAGTGTTTATCAATGAATGAATGGGTAGATAAAATGCAGATGCATTCTGCAGAATATTATTCAGCCATGAAAGGAATGACATACTGGCACATTCTACACATGAGTGAACTTTGACAATATTATGCTAAGGAAAATAAGCCAGAAACAAAAAACTCATGTGTTGTATAACTCCACTTATATGAAATAGGCAAATTCAGAGAGAGAGCATGGTTTGGTGGTTGTCAGGGAAGGGAGCAGGCAGTGATTGTGATCAATGGCTGATGAAATATTTTGGAAGTGGTTGGAGATGGTTACTGCAGAACACTGGGAATGTACTTGATGCCCCTGAATTGTTTGTTTTTAAATGGGTAATGTTATTTTTTGTGAATTTTACATCAGTAACATTCATAGCCCATCTATTAGGAATCTACTTGGAGATAGAAGATGAGGGCTTCAAACACTCACTGATAGGGGTTGGGCCACACCCCAAGATGAAAAATACAATCAAACATAACCCTTAAGTCTCTCTATATCTTTCAGATCCGGGGAGCTTCAACCACAAAGCCTTCTTCTCTGAGGTGGGCTTATCCAGCAAGGACATTGACCTTGTCAGGAAAGCATTTGCCATCCTAGACCAGGACAAGAGTGGCTTCATTGAAGAAGAAGAGCTTAAGTAAGACTTCTCCAACATGCTAGTGGGGAAAAAGGATGAACCGGAGTTAAAATTTCCTGGGGTTGTGATTTATGCAGGGTCTTGAAGACAGCCCCGAGTCCCAGACTCCTTTGGGTGACTTGCTTTTCCAGGCCTTGCTCAGCACCCTCCAGCCTCTATACTGGCTGCCCTGTCTAATCCCCCTGACCAAGCCCTATCCCTACAGATTGTTCCTGAAGAACTTTTCCCCCTCTGCCCGGGTCCTGACTGACAAGGAGACAAAGGCCTTCCTGGAGGCGGGTGACTCCGATGGAGATGGCAAGATAGGCGTGGATGGTAAGTGCACAGGACCCCTCCTGGAGCTCATGCACCCATTCACGCCCACCTGCCTGCCCAGACCCCCCCTGGCTCCCTGCAGGAGTACCCTGAGATCCCTGACAAACCAGCCCCGCCTTTATTATTAATTTTTATCAGTACTGAAGCCACAGTCTGATTTATTACAAGATCTTTAATTTCTGAGACCCAAGCATGTCAAAGTAGAGCAGTGATTCTAATCAGGGGTGACGGTGCCCACCTGGAGACACTTGTATTGTCACAACTGCGGGGTGGTATGCCCAGAGATGGCAGGGTGGGTGCCCAGAGATGCGGTGAAATATCCCACAGGCACAGGAAGGTCACCCACAACACGGAATGATCCTGCCCCCGCGTCAGAGGTACTGAGGCAGAGAAACCCTGCACGAGGTTCGTGGATCATGTTTGTAGAGGAGATCCAGGGTTCCCCAGCCTTGAATGACCTTCAGACCCCTTTAAAGAGGGGCATCTTGGCTGGGACCCCTGAGCTCCACAGAACTTGCTGTTTGACAAGCAATGACTTCGGAGTCTAAACTCTTATTCAGTGAATAGTTTTCAGTTGCAATACCAATAGAATAAAGTTTGGGTTGCTGAAATAATTTTTTAAGACTAGAAAGGGTCCTGAGGGGAATTTCTGGAAAAATGGAAACATTCTGTGTCTTAACCTTGGTAGGACATGCATGAAGAAGAGTTCATCGAGATCTACACACTTCTATAAAAAACAAACAGCTGGGGAAATGGTTGTAGCAGAATAGGTTACAAATTTTATCCAGTAAAACTCCTGGAGAAGGAGGGCAAAGATACAAGAGTCCTACCTTCTCTAGGACAGCATCAATTATCTTAGTACAAATCATCATTCTAAAATTAAAGCTTTTTTATAAAAGCAAAAAAATAGTTTAAAAATTAAAACAAAGAATTGTTTAAATTCTTGGAGGCCTCCCTGATGGCACAGGGGTTAAGTCTCTGTGCTATCAAGTTATTAGCAGCCACTGGAGAATGAGTTCAATCCCCAGCCAGGGAGCTACCCACATGGCACAGCAGACCTCTCCTGTCTCACCCGCTGCTGCCCTCAGCAGTGTATTTCAGTCGATCTGCCTGTTCTGCTCCCCACTCTGTCTCTGGTGAATCCTCTCACCCCCGCCCCAGAGGTCTGGCCTACACCACTGCTCTTGTATGCATAAATAAATACATCTTGGAAAAAAAAAAAGCAAAACTCTTGTAGCCATCTCAGCTCCCAGTTTAAGATTTTCTGGGCAGGGCTTGAGACAAGTTGGTAGCCTGCCCCAGGTCCTCTGATCACCTCTGCAGTCAGGGCTGCAGTGTACCTGGCCACACTGAGGTGCCAAGAATACAGCAGATTGTTTTGGTGCCTCTTGTTTTGACCTTCCTTCTACCTTGTATCAAGGTCTCCTTTGCAGAAAGAGAATCAGTCTCAGCACTCTCCACTCCATGCATGCCTGTGTGTATGGGGGTTACCTGCCCAAGGCCCCACCAGGCCCCACCTGTAACATCAAGCTGTTGATTGCTGAGTGAAACTTGACATTTCCAGGATGCTTAAAAGGTTGCAGATTCCTGCTGCTTGGAAAGAGTGCCTCTGGGACTCAACCACCCGGCTCTGCCCTCTGTTCCTCCTCCTTGTTGAATGGCCTTGCAGACTAAAGTGAGATAGCTTGAGAGGTGGCAGCTTGTGGTTTAGGGGGTCTGCTGCCAGGTTTGAAGCTGGGATCCCCCACTTGCCAGCCATGAGACCTGGAGACTTGGGTACAGAGTCATATAAGTACAAAGAATTTTGATTCTTCTTGGTCCAACAGACTTAGCAAAACCTCCTACCTCTTGGGATTGTTATAGCAATCTAATCAATGAACGTCAAGTGCTTTCGTGGTGCCTATACACAGTGTGCCAAACCCATGTCAGCTGTGACTACTGCCAGGGGCCTCCTCACGGGCAGCCAGGCCACTGCATCTGGGCTCCCCTCCAACAGCTTCTAGCTTTGTGAGGAGCACAGAGGGCGAGGAGCACAGAGGCAGAGGCAAAAATCTGGGCTGACAAATCTTGTTTTGCTCCAGTGATGACTTGATGTGGGGTTGGCTTTCCTCCCTGTAGCACCTCTAATTTAGTGTGCCTTCTCTTTTCTTGTCAGAATTCCAGTCTCTGGTGAAGGCGTAGCCAGTCTCCGACCCAAGGACACACAAGGACTGACCCCAGCACACTGTCCCTCAAGTCCTCTTCACACTCGGGGCTCACCTCTCCATCCTTTCTGTCATTTTGTGGCATTTCTCAAACAACCGTTTGCTGCCAACTGCACCATCAGGACTGGTAGCCAAGCAGGCTTTCGGGTGCTGGCAAGGGCAGGGCAGGTGACTGTAGCAACTCGCAATGTGGAGAAGAGAAAAATAAAACAAAGAAAAAGCAGCCTGCACTCGAACATCTCTTTCTTCTGCACTGACCCTCCTGGCTGCTCCAGCTCCTGGGATGGGCATCTGTGTTTGGGGGATCCAGGGAGGATTCTGATCAACAGAAAGCATCAGGGAATTGCCACTTAGTAGGGAAACTGCAATAAACATTGAGATATTTAAAAAGTAAAGCCAGGGGCCTCCCTGGTGGTGCAGGGGTTAAGTCTCAGTGCTATCAAGCTATCGCCAGCCACTGTGGCCTGAGTTTGATCCCCAGCCAGAGAGCTGACCCACATGGCACAGCAGACCTCTCCTGTCTCACCCACTGCTCCCCTCAGCAGTGTATTTCGTCAGTCTGCTTGTTCTGGTCTCTACTCTGTCTCTGGTGAGTCCTCTCACTGCCCACACATCTGGCCTACCCCCCAGGTCTTGTATGCATAAATAAATAAAATAAATCTTAAAAAAAAAATAGTAAAGCCAACCTGGATGGACCTTGAAAATATTACGCTCAGTGAAATAGGCCGGATATAAGACAAATACTAGGTGGCTCTGTTAGGGGGAAATGATGTCCTGAGCTGATCCCATACAGGCTTTGTGGACCCCACCCCCATTCCAGACTAAAGCCATCAGGACATTGGGAAAGACAAATCCCGTCACCACCAAAGGGAGGGTGGCTGGGACCTGAGGGTGGAGTTGGGCAGCCAGGTTGGATATAAAAACCAAACACGTGGGCCTTGGGCTCTCTCTGGCTCGCGATCGCTCGCCTCCTGGCTACACAGCTCCTGGCTGGCGGCCAACTCTGAGAGCGCCATTTTGGGATTCCTGATCGGCGGATCGGGTAGGACTCATTTAAAACTTTGTCTCCCACTTTTCTCCCTGAGCTGTACATTTCCTCATTTCCCCTTCCCTTGTAAACAAACCTTTTATTAACCTTTCGCGTGTGCCTGCAGTAGAGCATTGATAAGTCCTTTTAAGCGCGCGGGTGAGGACCCACAGTCAGGCACCCCGTTTTGTATCGGGGTTGCTCTACAACAGCTCCACTTCTGTTTGGTGTCTAGAATGGAGGAGTTCACAGAGTTAGAACATGGAAGCAAGTGTTGAACAGGCGCTCAGTTTAGCTTTGGGAGGATGAAAGGTTGTGGAGCTGGGGCAGCACAGACATGAGACCACTCAAAGTCCAAAGTGGTTGGAGCGATGGGAAGCATAGCGGGGCTACACAGGGATGTAATGTGCAGCCTCGAGCCCAAGGTAGTCTCACACTTATTTAGAATAGTATTTAAAGAAGGTGGCAAGCACTGTGTTGAGTGGGATGCTTTATCCTCTGGTGCAAGTGGGGGCGGAGTGACCAGGGGCTATTGCCTGGGGGGCTCCGTTGTTCCTGCTAGTCAAAGCATATTATCTCTAGTCTCTATTCTTACCTAACTTTTTGTTAAACTTTACAAGTAAGGTATTCTAGCTAATTTTGTTAATCTGGCCATAACGTCTGCCTGCTGTTTTCAGCAGATACTGGTTTCCCAGTATGTTCCTCATACCAGGACTTTTGTCCTTGGTGAGAGGCCTCCTGCCTGATTGTATGTTTAGCTGACCAGCAAGAACTCTGGGCATCGAGTCAACAGCCCTGAGAACAAGGGGGGCCGGGGATCCCACACTAGCTCGGGTACCTAGTGTCATGTACACCTCAAAATGGGTAGGAGGGTAAATTTTATGTTACGCGTATTTTAGCACAATAAAACAATAATGAAGACAAAATTAAAGTTAGACATGAGTAGGGTGTGCCGTGAGCCAGGGTCCTGACCCGGTCCAGCAGGGAGTGAAGGGAAATGACACATCCTGAAATGTTTGGGGAGGAGCAGCTGAAGGAGCCGCACAGCAAGAAGAGGATACGTCCCTCCCTTGCAGAGGCGCCCAGGAACAAGAACTTGAAATGAAGTTTACCTTCGCTTATCATATTTTTTCTACTCTGTTTGAAACGTCACGATTGCTCCCACAGTGTTCACCAGGAGGTCCAGAGCTCTTGTGCCCAAGTCCAGGGACCTCAGGGGCTAGCACTGTGCACACCCCCCTCAACTTGCCCCCAGGACCTGTCTCCCTGTAGCTGCAGGTGTGACAGTGACCCAGTCCCAGCTCAGCCTGATCCTGAGCAAGCAGCACAAATGAAGCCATAATCCTGCCCGTCCAGTTCCTGGCGACTCACATCAGGTCCCAGGGTGGGGGAGGGGACACAAGGGCCCATGCTCTTTCCAGTGACTCATCCCTGAAAGGAGCCCGGCCAGAGCTCCTCTCCTGAGGCCCTGAGATGCGGGTCCATCCTGGCACTAAGCTTTGACTTTTTCTTGTGCTCCTGCCCTACCACGAAGGCCAGAATGCATGCATGAATGAATAGATGCCTGCATGGATATAGGGTGGGAGGAAGGGATGGGGGAGGGAGTTTCCTGCCTATGTAGCCTCAGTCCTCTGGGCCCCCAAGCAGTCTCATGCAGCCCCTCTTTCCATCCCCTATCCTTGCCCACAACTAGTGCTTAGCTGCCACTTCTTTCCCACCTCTCACCTCTTTACCCCATCTCCTGTCCTCTCCTATCCCTCCTAGGACTACTTAATTTCCCTGCACAAAGCTCCTTCCTCCTCCTTAGACTACACCCCAAATCCAATGGCCTCGTGCATTTTAGGTTCTGCAAACAGGATGAGCAGTAGTGTAACAGGGTGGTACCCAGGAAAGGGGGAGGTTCCAGGTTCCCTGCCCAACCCAAGGGAGGGTGGAGCTGAGCAGGGAGAGAAGAAGCTGCAGAGGAGACTGAGGAAGGAAGCAAGATGGAGCCAGAAGGAGACCTGGAGGAGGCTCATGGAGCCTAGAGACACGTGAAGAAACTGCCCTTGTCTTTTGGTCGTGGACGGGGTGACACAGATGTGGGCGAGACCCGTGGGGAGGTGACAGTGGCAGCTTTTATTTTGATTTTGTTCTTTTCCTTCCGGGCTTGTCTGGTGGTTTCTGACCCTTTTCTGTGGGTCCCCACTGGAAGATGCTTTGGACTTGTGGCAGGCTTTGGGGCCTTGCTCTGGGCCAATCCCATTTGGATGGACTTTTACCCACGAGAGGACAGGTAACTTTGGGTGCTTGATTTAGAAACTAGATTCTTGCCTTTCCTGTGTTGTTTCCTAATTGTATTAAAGTTCCTTCCCATTAAAGTCTCATGTTTTGTGTTGATGCGGCGGATGGCAGAACCCTCTATAGAATACGCAGGTTTGCAGGCTTTGGGCTGCCCCTCTTCCTGCCCTATAACAGTAGAACCGGAGCATGGGCACGCTGCAAGTCATCACAGAGGGCACTCTCACCTTGAAACCAGTGGAACTAACTAACAATGGTTGAACAGTCATTGGTAATAAAATTCTAGTTTAAAAAAAATCATAAAAAAATTAAAAGGCAGACCAGTCAGGGATGTATTTACTACAAAGACTAAATAAGCTTGCCATATCAGGGTTTCATACAAACCAAGATGGAAAATATTATGACATTAATATTATGACTGTGATAATATTTGATGAAGATAAAGAAAGAAATCATTCTCACCCACAGCTAATGAGTATAAATTGGTATCCAGTCCCATGGGGGGCTGTGGGTGGGCCTTGAGGATATAGCCTCCCAAGCAACATTGCTCTCAAATGCAAAGACTTGGCCCATGGTTACAGGGAGTTCTGTGGCGCCCGGCAAGCTACTGTATCCCTCAGACAAGTCCCTCATCTGTAAAATGGGTGAATAGTAGCAGTACTAGCAAGCTGGTTTCCTGGGTCTAAAATTGTGCAGTCTAATAAACAGCCTTGTGTGGCTATTTAAATGGAAATGTATTCAAATTAGACTTCAATCCTTCAGTCATATTGGCCACATTTCCAGGGCTCAATAGTCACATGTGGCTGGTGGCCACTGTACTGGACAGCAGGGACATAGAACATGTCCATTGAGGCAGACAGGCAGGTGGACAATGCTGGTCTGAGGGATGTACAATGTCCAGCTCATGGCTGGGACCCAAGAAGGCCAGCTGTGATGGTCACCGTGAACTCTCAGACCCAGGGCTGTTGCAGGAGGGGAATAAGAGGTGCTCTTGCTGACAGCTGATCTTGTTGGAGAAGAGAACAGAGATGCTGTGATGTCTGCTCCCCTCAGAAAGAACTGGCCGATGGCCCCCTGGCATCATTAGAAAGAGACCTCAGCCACAAAGCCTGTCTGCTGTTCCCTTCTCAGCAGAAAGAGGCCACTTCCCACAAGTCCACTGAGACGGGAGATGAAGTAGGCCAGAAGCCGGTAGTTAGCTTCGTTCCTGAAATTGAAAAGGGGAATCATTTTCTCTCAACTGGGTATTTCCAAATCATGAAAAATGTTGCTGTGACCTGTGACCAACCTCTTGTGTTTTGAGCGATTCTGTTTCTAAAATTCAACTGCAGGGATTTAAGAGGAGTTTGTGTGTGTGTGTGTGTGTGTGTGTGTGTGTGTGTGTGTGTGTAGTCAGCTCTTTGGGGAGCTACAGAGAGAGAAGCAGAGAGAGAAGCAGAATTTATTTTGCCCTTGGCTGTATCATCCTCATTAAAATCTGACTTTGTTCATTCCATGGAAGTTAAGTCTGGGGGAGGGGGCGTGGGATAAATATGCCTGGGACGGCTGCAGTCAGCATTTCACACTCCCAAATTAGGGAAATGGGTCACCTCCTCAGGACTGCCTGATCCAGCTGCCTACTTGGGGTCAGAAGCAAGCGAACCAGGACCGCCACAAGAAATCCCATGCCC